GGGGGGGCCCCGAAAACCGGGTCAAAGAGCGGGAAGCCGCTCAGAGAAATTTGTGAGCGGCTTGGAGTCGTGGACGGAATGATCGGTTGACCTGGGCAGCTGCAGGCGGGATGGCTATAAGGGGGAGGGGGGGGGGGGGGATCGGCGAGGCGTGCGCGGGGCGTGGCGTGCCGGTACAGCTTCTTGTTTTTGTGGCAGGTCCGGTGCAGCGTGTAGAAGCCCAGGTCGAGCCCCACGTCGAAGAGCGGCGCGCGCCAGACGACGTCGAGGAGCGCTGCGGGGGAGGGGCCTCCGGGCGCCATGTTGAAGACTCGGAAGCCGATCGAGAGTCCGAAGGCCTCGGTGCAGGCGACCGGGATCTGCTTCAGCACCTGCCCGACAGGGGTGGGCGGGACGGGGGCGGGGGGGCGCTGAGTTGCCGGGAAGCGGCGCGTGCGGGCTGGGGAGGGGTGCGGCTCGGCGGCGCTGCGGCGGTGCGAGCGCAGCGCGGGGAGAGCGGCGCGGGGTGGCGGGGGAGGCGGGGGCTGGCACCTGGTGGGCGGTGATGTGCTTCATCGGCCGCCGCTCGTACCAGTCGGCGAGCCACTGCGTCGTGTGCGTCTCGAAGACGCCGAGTGGCAGCAGGAAGAGCCAGGCTAGCGGCGAGCCGTGGTGGCCGTTACAGACGATGAAGTACCGCACGGCAACCACTATGATGTCTCGGCACCACGAGAGCGCCACAAACTTGAGCCGCGCCTTGCGATCGTACAGCGGGGCGAAGTATCGGACGTACAGCAAGTTCCACAGGAAGCCGGCGCAGAGCGTCGCCAGCACGGCGGGACCGGAATGAACGCCGATTGCGATCGCCACAGCAGGCAGCACCACCTTTGCCGCGGCGTGGCCGCCGCCTGTGCGCACAGGTGACTTTCCCATATTGGAGGGCGCCAGAGACCTTTCCAGCACGCTCCCTCCCCCTGTCCAAGAGCGGGCGCCGAGGGAGCCCTGAAATTCTGAGGACGAGCGGAAAAGAATTAGCGCGAGCGGCGGGAGAGGTGCGCACTGTCCCTCTGTGTTCGTGTGCGTCGCCCATCTCTCCCTGGAGATACTGCTCTATTTATTTATTTATGAAAGAAACTCGACGGGCAATACGCCGCGAGGAGAGCGGAGTTGCGCCGAGAAGAAGCCGCGAGGATAAGGGATCGGCGGGCAGCGGTAGCACCACACTCCGTTAATAAAAATCTCTCTCCACACTCCTCTCCTTAAAATCCCTGTGTGGTGGCGGCGTGCCGTCCTCCCATCCCTCCCTGGGCTTGTCTGTTTTCTTTCTTTCTTTCTTTCGATCCCTTTGTACCCTGAAAGCTTTCTTGAGAATTTAGGGATCGAAAAAAAAATAGCTCGCAACGGACCATTGGGTTTGAGAGAGAGAGAGTTGTTTTGTGTGTGGGTTTGTACTATTAACAACGAAGGCGCTCTCAAAAAAAATAGCGTTATATGCTCCCTCGCACAACACTAGCCACTACCGGCACACGGCACAGTGCCGTCGTCCCATTCCTAGGAGCTACATGTACATCCCCCGGTGGCTGGCCGGGTTTCTATTTCTTTTTTCCTATTCGTCGTGGAATCGTCGACGTGGTCCGCGTGGTCGTGGCGCACTTTACGATCGCCTGTCATCATACATCAATTTGAGCTCCCCCCCCCGCGCGCGAGGTTGCAGTTGGTGTGTCTCCTTTAGGTGTTAGAGCCCTTAAAAAATAATGCTGAATCTTCCAGCGACGCTGGGGCGAGTGGGGGGACATCAACCGGCCCGGCACGGGCAGGGCCCCGCACCGCCGCAGCCGGGGCGCCCCACGCGCCAACACATAAGCAG